GTTATTATTGTTACTATTGCTGTTGTTATTGTTATTGTTGTATTATTATTATTTATAACTTATACAATTAACCTCCTTGTAGTTCGACCTCGGTCTTGCCGAGTTATTTATTACTTCGATGCTCCTGCACTTGGAAGAAGATATCAATTTTTTGGTTATATCAGCTACTGTCTCCTCAATATTTTCTTAATGATAAGAAATTTTAGCCTAGCTTGTGACATAGTGCTAACCACCTATGTAGTGTAAACACTAAGAGTAATGCTAAAATATTTAATCAAAGATTAAATTGGAAAGCTGAGAAATAAATATAGATGTAGTTATCTAAACTCAAAACACTAGCCATAAATTTGATTATATTTAATATTATTATTTTTTTGAGCTAATATTTTATTTAATAAAAAATAATCAAGACAATGCATAGGGAGCAAATTCATAAACTAAGTAAAAAACAAATCATATTTTATTAAAAAAATCATAAAAAATTGTTTGAATTGAAAAAAAGCAACCAATATTTTTTTTAATAAAAATACAACACTAACTAATGAAATTGAGAGGAAAAAACCAAATAACAAAAAAAAAACCATTGATAAAAAAACAAAAGTTTAGGTATATAGGCCTTGCCTGGTTTGCCTAACCTATTTGGGCTTAAAAAAAATCAGGTGCATGGGCCTTTCAGCCCATACTTATACATTTGGGTTGAGTTATTTTTTTTATTTTTCTAGAGGGTCATCAAAAATTCTGGCCATGAGTTTTTTAGAAAAAAATGCTTGATTTTCAACTCAAGACACCTAGAAAACAGCTTATAAATTTTGCCAAATTTGTCAATAGCCTCAAATAACTCTAATAACAATAAAAAAAACATGAAATCAAAAAAGTTCCAAACTTGGATTTATCATTTTAGGTGATGGAAAGGACAAAGAACACCTAAGTGAGACTTCTTTTATTAAAGGAATCCATTGACATCAAGATTGAATTTTTTTTCTTAGCTCGTATTGATATCAATTGAGACCTTTTTTACCATCAAAATTTAGTGACTCTCTCTCTCCTTTTTTAAATGAAGAATTGAAAAATAAAAAAATAATTTCAAGATTAAAATTGAAATTTCAAAAAATAAATGGATAAAAAAGAAAGTACAAGGACCAAATTAAAATTTTTGCATAAACTTTGAAGTTATCACTTATTTCCCCGTCTTTTCCATTTTGATTCTTCATATTTCGATCCTACTTTTATTTAATAAATTAGAGTCAATTATCCATCAATTTAGCTCTAAAAGAACCAAATTAGGAGAAAAATACTTTGATAACCAAATTAAAAAAAAATGTTCAGTTTTACACACCTTTTTTAGTATTTCTTAATTGTATTGAAAACAAAGTGGATGCGAGAATATATAATAAATACTTTGTTATCCTCAAAGTATTTAACATGCCTCAGTGATTTAAAATTAAAAGTAAATTCTAGCCAGTCCTAGCTTATTTGTAGCTTCTGAGCTTGGTCCACACGCCACAACCTCTTTTTTGTTTTAATTGTGCATCCATCTTATTAAAATTTATCATAGATAGAAAATCATTGTAAATTTATATTATATTAGAGGATGTAATTGTAAAAAAATAATTATAATTTATGATTTGATTATAATTTATATTATATTATTGATTAAGTTAAATAGGAAACAAGATAAACTATTATTTGGATTTTTTTTTTAAACTCAACTTGGATGAAAGGATGTGTTACAGATCATCAAGTTACTCTAAAAAATTAGAATGGGTTTACTTTTTTGTTTGATTTTATAAAATCTATTTTTTTGTTTGATTTTATAAAATCTAACTTATTTATGATCCAAGGCTTTTCATTGAAATTGGTCTTAACTACAACTCTTCAAAGTTCATTAATTTGATTTAGTTAATGTTTATCTATTTTTGCAACTGATAATTAAATTTTTTTAATTAATAAAGATATTCGGGTTACCTTACATGTATTTTGATTAATTTTATAGGTCTTAAAATTAACGACTATCTAAACCTCTAGTGACCCTGAAGTTTGTGAAACTCGAATTGGTGACTTTAAAAAAGCAAACACAATACCTGACTAGTTGAGTTAAATCTACATCTCTTAGAGTTAATTGATAACTAAGTCTTGATTCTTAGATATATGGATTTTTAAGTTAGAACTGGGTTTTTTTTTTTATAGAATTAATTTTTTAATAATTGTTTTTAGAAATTTCTTCTAAATTATTATTAAATACAGTCCAAAAAGTTAAAATTAAAATCTAATTCTAGATTTAAACCAAGCATGTCTTATTTAATCTTTGACTCTTGATGCTACAAGATGAGGCACAAAACCATTTGATCGATGCATTGTATTTTGTCATCCCTATCTATAGGTGGACGACTCTTGCACTCCATACCTCAGGAAAAGAAGGAATTGGGGTGCTCATGAAATATTGAACTTACGATTTCATGAATATAGAATTTCTAGTTTCATTAAAAACCATGTCTCATGGTTATTTTTCCTTTTTTAGGTAGTGCATGCTTGTTTTTGCGATACAAATAGTGTTTTTAAAATTATTAATTTTTATATTTTTTTATTGTTTTAATGTGTTAATATTAAAAATATTTTTTTAATATATTTGTAAATAAAAAATAATTACTATTATAATATCAAACAAATACTTAGTAAATACAAACAAATTGAGAGGTTGGATTTCCTCTAGGATCATATAATCCAATCTAGGTTTAATAAAACCAAATGCATGATAATTCAAATTATTATTAAAATGTATTTTAATGCCATCTAAGCAATTAAACTAACAATTATCTAAAATTGAAAATATTATGTATTCTTTTATTTAGATGAATGTAAAATCAATGATGGTTTTTCAATTAAACTAACGCTTACCTAAAATGGAAAATATTATGCATTCTTTATTCTTTTATTTAGATGAATGTAAAATCCATGATGGTTTTTTCATTCAAATTCTTAGTGGAGTCATTTGTAATAACTTTTTTTTTTCAATCATTCATCAATTTTGAAAGTGAATTATTTATTTTTAATTATATCCAATCTTGATATATAAAAGTTCATCTCATAACTACTAACAAAATTAAAAAAAAGTTGGGGTGGATTTACTGGTTATTGTACAATTTTATATGAACAATGTAATCTTTTATTTTCTTCATTTTGGTCTGACTCACTTTTTTTTATTATTAATTTTTTTTAATTTTATCATTCTAAGTTAGATTAGTATGTTTTATATGTTTAGATTTTTTTTCAATTTACATGCTTTCATATACGAAGTGTTGAGAGATAATCTAACAAATAATTAAAAATTGATTTTGCAAAATAAAACTTTAGATTATAGTTAAAAAAATAAATTAAAAAAAAGGTACCAAGTTTAATTGAAAAAATAGACCCCATATAGATTTTTCCATAGAAACTTCCCTTTGGTTCTTGAAGTTTCAGGTTATGTATTATTTAATTTTTATTATTTAGAAATTTATAATTTAATTTTAGATTTTATTTATTTTACCTTATATGTTGAAAAAAAAAAGAAAAATGTTTGGATAATTATGTTTTAGCCACTAAAAAAATTGGTTTTGATGTCATGATTTCAATGAAAATGGTATTGCCTTCAACCATGCTAGAAAAAGTACATTTGAGTCCATAATTGTTTTTTTAAATTTTTTTTAGAGTGATTAAAAAGCATTTCGGTTTGAAAATAGGTTTATTGGTGTATTTTTTAGTGTGTTTTTTTAGTTATTTTCAAGTAAGAATAAATTAAAAATTAACTTTTAAAAATAAAAAATTCAAATATAGTTTTTGAATCACCAGAGGTGACCAAAAAATTATCTAGCGGATGGTCATATATAATAATAAATGATATGTTTTTAATTGAAAAAAAAGCAAAATAAACAATGTATAATCCACTTACTAAAAACATTAGTCGAAACATTAGTCACGTGAGTGAGTATGACCTTCTAGACCCAAGCATGTCTAGGCTTTTTCATATTTAACTAGGTACAAGGGCTTAAATTTTTTTTACTCTTGAGGTTTTTAATTTTAATTAATATTTTCTCTTTTCCTCTCTTTTTTTAATTTTAATATTTAATTAATGTTAATAAATTCTTTTTAAGTTATCAATTCATAAATTTTTAATTAATTTATTTTATTAAATGTAAACAACGATGTTTTGTTTCTTAATTAAAAGAAATTATAATACTCAAAAATACATTATAATATTAGCGTCTTTTTCTCTTGTGTTAAAAATTAACTTAAAATCATACCCATAACTCAGTGCAAGTTATAGGACTAGAGATATCTCACTGAAATTAAAAAAAATGAAATATATGTAAAAAATAGAAAGAAATTTAAAAATAAGTAATTTTTAATTTTATAAAAAAAGTTTCCTTTTCAATAGGAAAGGTAAGATATGCCCCCTTAAATGAGAGACATCTTGATCAACACCCCTTGATTATCTTTTCTTTGTTTTTTAATTTCAACCCGAAACTATTGAGTATTTTCATTGAGCCCCTTCTATCAACTTCAATTCAATTTAGTCCTTTAGGATCACATGTCAATGTCATCCTAAATACCAACAAAAAATAATAAAAAAGTGGATGGAATATAATTGCAAGTGGTGTCAAGATCATTGGTGTCATGTGCCTATGGATTAGCTATAAATAAAATAAATAAATAAATAAAAATTAAGAAATTTGAAACCCTTTGTCAAACATTTTCATGTCCATTTGATTTTTGAAACGCCATTGGCTTTTAACTTTCAAGAAAAGGTCCTAAAAGAAATATCTAGTGGCCATTGTTGCTTACTGTAATTTCCATCCTCACATCCCAAATGCACTAAAATAATATTAAAAAATTTATTAAAATTATATTTTTATATTATTTTGATATATTATATTAAAAATAACATTTTAAAAATAAAAAAATATATTATTTTAATATATTTTTAAATAAAAAATATTTTAAACTGTAATTATTACCAATCACAGAACACCTCACGAAACTCCTTGTTATGTCCGCTCTCTTCCTCCGTACTAAGTCTCTCGTTCTCATCATCTCTCTTACACAGAAAACACACAAGAAAACAGAGTGAAAAGATGGAGAGCTTCGCCCTCCACTCTCTCTCCGCTACCACCACCTTCTCCACCTCTCTTTACACCCGAAATTCTCTACTCCACAGATCACCGGGACCTATCTCCATCACCAAATCCTCATCAACCGCCCGCTCATTCTCTGCCATCAGATCATCCGCTCAAAAACCTCTCCTTTTCTCTCCATTCCACAACAAAAACAAAATCTTCACGTCCAAATCCAGAATTCTCGCATTGGATCAAGAATCCAAGGACAGCCCGTTATCAAAGTCGCCAGAAAAACCAACCCCATCTCTAAAAGGAGCAAAATTGATACCCCTTTTAATATCTGTCTCTATAGGCTTAATTGTAAGGTTTGCTGTGCCTAAACCAATAGAAGTTACCCCTCAAGCCTGGCAATTGTTGTCTATTTTCCTTTCTACTATCGCTGGTCTTGTTTTAAGTCCTTTGCCAGTTGGGGCATGGGCTTTTTTGGGTTTAACTACTTCGGTTGTTACTAGAACTTTACCTTTTTCGACGGCTTTTAGTGCTTTTACTAGTGAAGTTATTTGGTTGATTGTTATTTCTTTCTTTTTCGCTCGTGGTTTTGTTAAGACTGGATTAGGTGATAGGATTGCTACCTATTTTGTTAAGTGGTTAGGGAAGAGTACTTTAGGATTGTCTTACGGATTGACTCTTAGTGAGGCGCTTATCGCGCCTGCAATGCCTAGTACTACTGCTAGGGCTGGTGGGATTTTTTTGCCTATTATCAAGTCCTTGTCATTGTCAGCAGGGAGTAAGCCTGGTGATACCTCTTCGAAAAAGCTCGGTTCTTATTTAATTCTGTCACAATTTCAGGTTATCTTCTGTTTACATGGTGTATCTTGTTTTCTTTTTATATCATGTTGGTTTTGCTATTTGTGTGGATTTGTAGGTGTAGTTAATTTTTCTGTCAGTGGATGGAATGTTCAATCTGTGATATTATCTCTGTGTGAGTGGTTGTTTCAATTGGAGTGAATAATGTTGAGGATATTGTTTCTTAAAAGAATCATAATTTATTTGTGGATTTTGCTAGTGGACAAGCTATTTTCTTTATTACGAATTTAGAAGATTCATCAGTGAATCCGAAAAATATGGGTGGTTGGATTGTTTTTCCATGGGAAACTGCCTTCTTTTGGTTGAACTGACATGGATTATTAATTAGGCTGATGTAAATGTCTTGAAGACAGGTTGACTCTTGCCATCACCCTGTTGAGGCTTTACCACCTGTCTTGGTGGTATCTTGTAAAGAATTTGCGGGATTAATTTTGAAGGGAGATGCATGCTAGTTGAATTTCTGACTTCTCCTCATTATTACTATCTGGAAAGTTCAGAGAGGTCTTGCATGAGGTTTTGATTGGATTGTTATTTTCAAGACCTTTCTATCTCTGTACTTTGTTATGAACCATAAGCAGGGTTTCTTCGTTGTATTTCTTATGTTGTCTTCTTATGTGGAACATTATTGGTTTCTAGTAGTTTGTTCCCAAATTTTAGCTCCTTTTAATTTTCCAGTGTCGGTTACCTAAAGCATCATTCTTTTGCAATGTTTTACAGTGTTCTAGCAGCTCCAGTGCTCTTTTTCTTACAGCAGCGGCTCAAAACTTGCTGTGTCTGAAATTAGCTGAGGAACTTGGGGTGATAATTTCAAGCCCTTGGGTTTCCTGGTTTAAGGCAGCTAGCTTGCCAGCATTGTTTTCTGTTCTAGCTACTCCATTTATCTTATATAAGCTTTATCCTCCTGAAACAAAAGACACTCCAGATGCTCCAGCAGTGGCTGCAAAGAAGCTGGAGACTATGGGTCCCGTCACAAGAAATGAATGGATCATGGTTGGTACCATGGTTCTTGCAGTTTCTTTGTGGGTATTTGGGTAGGTCATATATCTCATATAACTTACAATATATATATATTATGTTTTTAGATATAACTTGAACAGGATATCTATGTGTAATACGCCAATTCTGGACAATGCATAAGCATGAGTTAACGGGAATTAAATGTAGAGAAAACAGAATGTCCTTGGAACTTTCTGCTCCCTATTGTGGAATTCTGAACCCTGATGTTTACTCTGGACTTCTCATCATGTGGATTTTATCATGATTGAGTAGGCTGAAGATTCACTAGATTAGAATGTCGTTCAGTTAATTTGTTGTGATCTACTGCATCTTTCTGGTCATTCCACTGATTATTAATTGATCAGTATGCTAGGGATAGTTATACCAGCATGATTATCACATGTATTAAAGTATTGATTTTTGTCTCTTTTTTTCCTCTTTAGCTCCATGAAACCCTCTGTGATTACCTTCCCTTCTCCCTTCTCCCTTCTCCGCAGTCCTAACAGAAACTAAGGTAATAGGTTGCTGAGGGAGTGTTATCTGCAGCTTGCTAACTTGTTTTTATTGGTTTTACTGATCTAGAAAAGCCTCAATAATAATTTTGTCAGACCAAAAATGACACAAGTCTCTGAATCATGAAGGAATGCAATTGATGCTTCACTGTAGGTGTAGATTTCTGAACTTATCATGTTCAATTTGTTTATGGGATAAAAATCACGTGTGGTTCCTTTCTTTTTACTTTTGGTCGAATTAAACTGTTCGCTTTAAATTGAGTTTGATCAACCCTTCTATTTTCTAATATTGGTGATCTGAGCACCTTTATCCAATTATTATGAATGCCACATGTTATAATTTGCTTGTATGGATGATTCGAATAACCTTTTGTTGGAAGCTAATTGGTTAATTTGATCCATTATAAAGTAGAGAGTTGATTTGGCCAAATGTGAAAAGTAGAAAGGACCATACATGTTTTTTTTTTTTTTTTTTTAAGCAAAAAAAGCCATATTATGAATGCCACATGTTATAATTTGCTTGTATGGATGATTCGAATAACCTTTTGTTGGAAGCTAATTGGTTAATTTGATCCATTATAAAGTAGAGAGTTGATTTGGCCAAATGTGAAAAGTAGAAAGGACCATACATGTTTTTTTTTTTTTTTTTTTAAGCCAATAAGCCTGATATTTTTTTTTGCATATTGCAGCTCTAGTTATATTGGCTTTTGACATATGCATTATGCTTTGAGGGATGAAGGGGTGATCTTTTGTTCCCTTTTTTCTGTGTTTTTTCGGTTTTCATGCTCTTGAAGTTAATGCTTGCTTTCTATCCCCAGATCCTAGCGTATTTGCAAAGAGAAGGCCTTGTAATACTACCTGTCTCTGCCAACATTTCCCCAAACAAACCTTGTCTAGCTTTCTGGTTATAATAGGTGCCTGTTAGAACTCTACTTACCGATCCTAATGAACATGGAGGTTGAGTTCATGGATGGGGGAAGACATTTATTGGGGAAGAACAGGTTTGTGAATGGGTTGGTTCAAAGTGGTTGTTGCTTACCTTGCAACTTTAATTAAAGAAATAAAACATACATTTTCATAAAGAGAGCATGCTGTGTCCTTACAACTTACTGGTTGGTTGCGTACTCTGTTGTCATGACTCTCAAGTAATGATGCAAGGTCATCACATAGAAGATTTGTCTATGACATTTGATTGTCACTGACAAAAAATGTTATGGCAGTAAATTCAGTTGATTGTGAAACTTGTGACTAGGTTTATTGAACTGGACAATGTTAATCTACTATTGTCTCAAAGCTATTGAACATGCAGGTGATTTCTCATTTAATACATTAGATGTTTTCATTCCAGCTAACTGTGGCCTCAAAACAACTTGGTAATAAATGTTAACTGGTCATTTCTGTGGAATACGGCAATACTTAAATGTGCTTTGACCTGGGTTACTTTCATTGTAATCATATTGGTATAAATTGGTGGTGTTTAGTGCTATTTTGGAGTTGAAGATATATCCTCTTATCTTGTTCATGGTAGCTTAATTTTTTTTCATTATCTTTTGGATTCTTCAGCCTGGACAAGGGATTCTGGTTCGTTTTGCATGTACCTGATAGCTCAAAATAGTTGTTATATTTGGTTGGTAGAGATCTTAGCATGATGTTCAAACTTCAGATATTATTACTTTCCCTGTTGATATTTTTATGCTTTCTTTCTGAAATGTGTTCATGGGTTTGGATTCTGCTTGGATGGTCTGTTTGCAGAGATGCTCTTGGAATACCAAGTGTAGTTGCTGCAATGATTGGCTTATCAATACTTCTTTTGTTGGGAGTTCTTGATTGGGATGACTGCTTAATTGAAAAATCAGCATGGGATACTTTGGTTTGGTTTGCCATTCTAGTGGGAATGGCAGGCCAATTGACAAACCTTGGTGTTGTAACCTGGATGTCTAGCTGTGTAGCCAAGGTCCTTCAATCTGTCTCTTTGAGCTGGCCTGCTGCCTTCGGGATTCTTCAGGCATCTTATTTCCTGATCCACTACCTATTTGCCAGTCAAACTGGTCATGTTGGTGCTTTGTACTCTGCATTCCTTGCAATGCATTTGGCAGCTGGGGTGCCTGGTATATTGGCAGCTTTGGCTTTAGCTTACAATACGAATCTTTTTGGTGCTATTACACATTATAGCAGTGGCCAAGCTGCTGTATACTATGGAGGTATGCATCTCCTCTCCCAAATTAAGCAAATAATTGTCAAACATTTCTGTTTTAAATCTTGCTTCATGAACTTTATCTTCATTGACAGCCTGTCAAACTAGATTTTTTCTCTTCAAATTGATCTGATTTGGGTTTTCTATGAATTAGATCTATCTACCATGATCACATTGAGATCTCTGTTCTACATTATCTGTTTTGAGTCGTTAACATGGCATCTGATAGTGTTTTAATTGCCTTTTGTAACAGCTGGTTATGTAGCCCTTCCTGATGTATTCAAGATGGGCTTTACAATGGCCCTTATTAATGCCATCATCTGGGGAGTTACTGGAACTTTCTGGTGGAAATTTTTGGGTCTCTACTGATTTGCTTTTGCACTGTAAGTAACTGTTGGGGTTCCTTCTGAAACGATATAGTGATTTGGAGAATGGCTGAGCTTATAACTTTGCAAAGAAATTTTGACTTCTTAGCCTGGATCTCTATTAGTTTTACAGGTAGAACATTATGAGATTAATAATACTAATGGAAAGATTTGGTTATTTTCTTTGTGAATCAAAGAAATTGAAACTTACCGATCATTTTATTTTGTTTCTAATTGTTTCATACTTTCTGTTTGATCTTTGGCAACCCACTGTTGCTTATCACCATTGGTGACTCATCTTATGGTAGCTTTGTTCCATGAGATCTGCAAATGTCCCCACCTGGAATTTGCTTTTGTTATACTGCAGAGACTGAACATTATAAATGGGCAATCCCAGGTTGTTGAAGGTTTCAGCGACTGTAGGAAATATTTGTATCTCACTGTAAGGTGCTTTCACTGTTGCCCCAATTAAACTGATGACCATTGAAATTGGATATTTAGATGTTTCAGTTTAGGACATACTAATAGCTCCTTGATTGGATGGAAAGCTTTGCCCGCTGAAAGGACAAAACAAGAGGTTCAGTTATAAGTGGTCCAAGTGACAAGCGCTGACATTGATTGTGGTCCATTATCCTCTAATCCACCCACACTGACAAGAGCTGAAAGAGTAGCAAAAACTGATGGGCTGCAATTCAAATTCAATGTATAATGTAACCTAATCAGATGAACTAAATGAGGCTATCCAATGGACTAAGTGATGCTTCGAATCACCAAGAAGAAAGAGCTCAATTGTCTTCCTGCTGATGTCTACAGAATGAATCAATTGCTTTGAAGTTACTTTCTTCCAAATTTAGCACATCCATCTTTGGGAATTTAAAAAAAAAAAATCACAAATTTCAAAGAGTGCTTGAGAAGGATGCTCAATGGAACTGTCTACAGTAGCGTATGAACGTAACCTAATTTAATGTATGTGCCGAAATTATTGACTTGTCAAATAATGTTGTTAAAGATAGAAGGATTCAAAGTCGAGCTGGGTAGGCAGTTAATGAAGACAATGACTTTTCAAGATCCTATAAAAGAAGATGAGGATTCTACAAAAAGCTTGGAAGATCAGACCATTAAAGAAAGTAAAACAAAAAACCCTTAACTTGTGATCAATTCACGCTATAGTAACACCATATCTGCATTCCTCATCCTTTCGTACTCCCTAAAACTTAATGAAGATGCAGCTCCCGTACCTTTACCTTCATTTTGTGCACGATCAGTTTCAAGGCACCTGTCATGAGATGCCAGAATGTGACATGCAACTCAACTGACCTCAGAGCCTTAATTAACTTCTCAAGTTGCATAGAATCAGGGATTGATGGGTGGGATATCTCTAGTTCTGGTTGTTGCTCTTGGAATGGTGTCACTTGTGACAACTCCACCACTTCAAGTAAAAGGGTGGTCAAGTTAGAACTTGCAAGAAAAGGACTCAGAGGTTCAATCTGCAAGTCCTTCGAAGGTTTAGATGAACTGAGAATTCTGAACCTTTCTGCTAATTTTCTTACAGGGTACTTGAACCCCTACCACTTCAGTATGCAAAAGCTGGAGGACATTGATATGAGCAACAATTACTTTCACGGTCAATTACTACGTGGTGATGATTTACCCTCACCCTGGTATGTTGACCTCTCGATGAACAGATTTAGTGGCAGTATAGATGCAACATATTGTTCAATGTCACCCTTATTGAAGTTCTTAATCTTGCAAACAACTATTTGATTGGTGAAGTTTCAGAGAGTTTTGTAAAATGTTCTTCTCTGCAGCATCTCTTTCTTAACGGCAATCAGATCCCAGGAACTTTTCCGAAAAGTCTCTTGCAACTGAGAGATCTTCGTACGTTGAAACTTCAAGAAAATTTGTTTACTGGATCACTAAATGGTGGAATTGGTAACCTTTCTAAGCTTGTGAAATTGGACCTCTCCTTCAACAGGTTTAATGGATTTCTTCCAGATGTGTGTGACCAGCTTGGAACGCTCGAGCACTTCTCTGCCAGATCAAATAAATTCAGTGGCCACTTGCCCAAGTCATTGGTAAATTCTCAATCCCTTTCGACTCTCGATTTGGAAAACAACTCCTTCACCGGTCTAATTGATCTCAATTGTTCTGCAATGATTCAACTTACCACCCTAAATCTTGCTTCCAATAATTTCCATGATCTGGTAGCTAATAGTTTATCATCTTGCCAAGGACTAAATAGTTTGAATCTTTCACACAACCACCTTAGAGGTGGACTACAGTTTGCCTTCAAGAATCTCCAGTCCATGAGATACTTGTCACTCTCAAACACCGGTCTTGTTAACTTTACATCAGCACTTGCAACTCTGCAATATTGCGAAAACCTAACCATGCTGGACCTTAGCTTAAACTTTCAAAATGAGGAATTACCAACTGATATGAGTTTGCAGTTCAGAAACCTCAAGGAACTCTTTATCTCCAATTGTCAACTAAGAGGATCAATTCCATCATGGTTGAGTTCTTGCAGCAATTTGCAGGTGTTGGATCTTTCACAGAATCATTTGGAAGGATCCATCCCATACTTCAAATATCTCTTGTACTTGAACTTGTCAAGTAACTCCTTGACCGGGGAGATTCCAGAAGGCTTCACTGAACTACCGAGCCTCATTGACATGAACATCTCATTGGAAAGGTTTGCGACAAAAAATTGGAGCTCCATTCCATCTTTGGACTTGAGCTACAACATGCTCACAGGACACATACCTCCAAGTACTGGGAATCTGAGAAAACTTCATATACTAAATCTGAAGTACAATAGTTTATCAGGACCTATTCCTGGTAGTTTATCAAGGATGACAAACTTAGAAACCTTAGACTTATCTCATAACAAGCTATCAGGAGAAATTCCTGATACATTGAGAGAGCTCAGTTGTCTATCAACTTTCAATGTATCATACAATCAACTGCATGGGGAAGTCCCTGAAAGAGGGCAGTTAGCGACCTTTCTTTGTACAAGCTTCATTGGAAATCCCGGTCTAACCTGTGGATGGGATGCCTATAGTCCACCTGCACAAACTCCTCCCCCTCCAACTCCTGTTGTGTTTCCCGATGACAAAATGACAATCATGGGCTGGCCATTTGTATTTGGCGTTCCAACCGGTTTTGTCATCACCGTGGGCTTTTGCTTTGTAACTGGCTGGATTTTTCCAAAGCCAGAAAAAAGGAAGGTTAGAGTAATTAGAATCGGCCGCTAGAGGTAAAATGTCTGAGAATCCACTTTCTGGATGCTTCAAATCATGCATGTGAGGAGTCCTTTTCTTTCTTTCTTTTTTTATTTCTTGCTAGTTGCTACTTTTGTTACCTTCCATTAATGTAAATATGCACTGATTTATTTTTCAAACAAATATTCTAGGATTGATATGCTGTGTTTATGGCAAAATGCTAACTTGAATTTGTTCAACAAAATGTAGCAGAATTTATAACCAAAATTAAACAAAGACGAAAATCAGGCTTCTGGACAGTAAATTTCCTTCGGTGCAGACATTATGAGTCCTTCTGCAGTCACAAATTTTATTAAGGAAAGGACTCAAGATTTTTCACCATCTGCAATGACCTAATACGTAACAAGATTTTGGCTGATGTTTGCTTAAGAACCTTCCAGGTAGCAAGACTTATTTAACGATACTGTTGCAGGTCTGTTTTAACTCTTCCAGGCCACTTCCTATTTGGCTGAGTAGCAGCAAGATGTTGCAACTTTTGGATTTGTCATGACATCAATTGAGTGGAAGCATTCCCTTCGGGTTCCATGAGTTCAAATATCTGTTTTACATGGATTTGTCCAAAAATAACTTGACAGGCGAAATACCAAAGAGCTTAACTACGCCTGATCGACATGAATATCTCATTAGAAATGCCTTCCTTGAGCTTTCCGCTTTTCAAGGCAAGATTCATGTATAAAATAATTTGGAGTTTTCGTCCTCCTTTGGATTTGAGTTGCAACAAACTCACTGGACCAATACGGCCAAGTTTCGAGAATTTGAATAAATTTCATGTTCTAGGTCCGCAGAACAATCATCTATCAGGAATAATACCCTATAGTTTACCAGGCTTGAAAAGCTTGAGATTTATGGACTTGTCCCAGAATGAATTATCAGGGGTATTGTCATTGCAAAATCTCAGTTTTTTTGTAGAGAAATACCCCTGTCATTGCAAAATCTCAGTTTTTTTGTAGAAATTCAACGGTTCGAACAATCAGCTGCATGGAGAAATCCCCACAGGAGGCCAGCTCTTGACATTCCCGCGGTCAAGCTTTGAGGGAAACAGAGGATTGCGTGGCGGTGACCTTCCACCATGTCTACCTCATCAGACTCCTCACACTCAGATTCAGCCGGTTGATGAAAAAATGACTATCATAGTTCTGCAATTTGGATTTGGAGCTGTGATTGGTTTCCTTCTCACAGTTGGCCTTTGCTTCAAAAGATGCTGGGTTTTCCTAAAGCCATAATAAACACATATCAAAGCCACCAGAGTATGAATCCCCATGCACATATAGAAATAATTATATCTGAACAAATGCTGACACCAAGCCAGTTAGAAGTAATAAGGAAATTGGCCTTTGTCGTCGTGTTCAATGTTTTCTGTCAAAACTCAGAATTTGAGCAGTTCTTGTAATGTCTCCTTTCTTTTCATCTCCTCATGAATTCAGCTAGACAATCACAAATCTTAAAGCATATAAAAAAGAAAGCAAAATCAATGAAGCATAGTACTTGGAGAGGGCATTTGATCCCTGCTAAGTACTTATCGTTTCTTCTAGTAGCTTGTAGTCTACAAATAAATCTAGAGAACAGCAGGAAAAATGGACAATTACCATGTTTGGTATCGACCCTAAGGATCTAAAGAGATATTCTGACAACAATTATTACTTAATTTCTTAAACAGTCACCACTATTTCTCAGATAAATGATTTCAGTTTAAGCATTCCTGTTCTCTAACCTTTTCATCTTCTTCTTCTTCTTCTTCTTTTTTTTTTTGTTTTTTTTTACCTCGTTTGTTAGAGGTTGGAGCAATGGAGGTTGAAAAGTAGAAACTAGACAAGGGCGTCAAAAAGCTGGTATGGTGGTTATATGCCTAATCTTTCACCATGACTTCAACATCATTTATTTTTGTCTTTGAGATTGTGTTTAAACGTATTTTTCTTGAAAGAAAAATTAAATTGATATTATTTATTATTTTAATGTATTAATATAAAAAATCAAAACAATTAAAAATATTATTTTAATATATTTTTAAGTAAAAAATATTTTTTTTAAAAAATCATTTATTACAATATTAAAGACATTTCACTCGCTCAATTATCTTTTCAACACTTTTCCCATGTCTTGATTCAAATTTTCTCCCGTTCAACATATTATCTTGAAAAAAAATCACAAAAATACTAAGAAATTTGTTGTGTGACAAATATAAATTTTTGTCAATTATCTAAATTAATCCAATGATACAAATATCATTAATAGTGTTGGTTGATATCATTAATGATAAGCATTTATTTGGCTACTAGAAGAATCATTAATAAGGCTTCCAATTGAGCCTATAAATAGAGGCACAAAAAGAGCTGAAAGATACAACCAAGTAGAACAAAAAAAAAAAAAAAAGGGAAAGAGAGTGCTACTTTGGCAGCAGAGGGTTGCTTGGGCAGTAGCTTGTAGTGACAAGATGAGTGAGAGAAATGAGAGTTGAGTGTGTATCTCTTCTTTTATTGCTGTAAAAATCTTGTTCTTTCTATTTAATAATATTGGTTGTTTTTTAGATGTAAACAAGTTGCCATGATAAGTTATTGTGTTGAGACCTAATCTAGACGATGATCTTCGCACACCAGCACCCGGATTCGCAACAAATTGGTATAAAAGCTTATCTATTTGCAAAAGAAATCAATCATATGTATAGTCACCAAATGAATTTGCATCTTCCCTTTAAATAGAGAGTTTGAGCGTAAGAACTCCTAAGAGCCAATAATACAGATGAAGACAAGTGGATACAACGTATGGATAGCTAATGGTTGAATACTGGCTAGGACAAGTATAAAGATAAAATGCCAGTTAACCTTATGGATATTGCTCCTATGATGGAGTGAAGAGCCAATTGAACTCTTGAAAGAAAAGTGAAGGACTAGTGGATTGGTAACATAGGGAATGCACAGATTTTTGGATGAATAGACTCTTTGAAAAATAATGAGTTTTTAATGGAATGTTCCTTGGTAAAAATAGAAAACAAGTTGACACTTAAAATAAAAGCAAAAAGATTCATGAAAAAGCAAGACACAGTTCCTAGAATGGAATAAAAGCGTGATTCCTGCAACCAAATGAGAATCAGGGTGTAGAAAAAAAGAAAAAAAAATCAACTATACAGCGACCATAAAATGGACTCCTGACCTTAGTTTTTTTTCTTCATTTAATTTGATTTGGAGATGAAAAAGTCTTCAAGTCAAGGCTGGACTCAAGTCATTTGGTGACTTACTATTTAGGCCCTAGGATCCAATCTATCCATGATTTAAGGGGGGAAAAAATGAAAGGGAGGACTTAATAGTCAATAAAAGCATTGATCATTTTCAAGAAAGTATACAGTTGAAGGAGTAACTTGTACCTTAAACGTTCCACCACTTGTAACACCATATTTCACTTTATTAGTTTCTTTCCTTTGACCCTTAGTGAAGAGATGTCATACCTTGCTTTCGCCTTCATTTTGTTGATGATCAGCTTCAAGACTCCTTTTATGAGATGCCAGAATGTCTCATGCAATTCCACTGACCTTAGAGCCTTGATTAGCTTCTCCAATTTCATAGAGTGGGGGCTTGACTGGAGTAGCTCAGAGTCAAATTGTTGCACTTGGACAGGAGTCACTTGTGACAATTCCACCATTTCAAGTAAAAGGGTACTCAGGTTAGAGCTTGGAGCAAAAAAACTTGTAGGAAAACTCTCCGAGTCCTTGGCAGATTTGGATCAGCTGCGAATCCTGAACGTCTCTCACAATCTCCTTCAAGGTTCTCTTCCAGGAAAGTTATTTGGTTTGCAGAAGCTGGAGATCCTTGACTTGAGCAATAATTATTTTGTCGGTCCTATACCAGGACGTAGTGATTTACCCTTAATCCGGTACGTTGACATTTCAAAGAACAATTTTAATGGCACTCTTTATGCGACAATTTTCGAAACCTCACCCCATATTCAAGTTCTCAATCTTGCAAATAATTATTTCGCTGGTGAAGTTTCAGCAAGCTTTGGAAGTTGTTATCGTCTGCAGCATCTCTTTCTTGATGGAAATGATCTCACAGGAAATTTTCCTGAGAGTCTCCTGCAACTGCGAGATCTTCATACATTGAACATTCAGGATAATTTGTTTTTGGGGTCATTGAATGAAGGAATCAGCAACCTTTCCAACCTTGTGAAATTGGATGTCTCCTTCAACAGGTTTACTGGAATTCTCCCAGATGTTTTTGAGAGTCTTGGAAAGCTTGAGCACTTCTCAGCCAGATCGAATATGTTCTACGGGCATTTGCCTAAATCATTGGTGAATTCCCCATCCATAATAACTCTTGATTTAAGCTCCAACGCCCTCAGTGGTATAATCAATATTAACTGTTCAGCAATGCTTCACCTCTCCTCCCTCAGTCTCGGTGCTAATCAATTCTCTGGTCCAGTACCTGAGAGTATATCCTCTTGCCAAAGACTAAGTAACCTGAATCTTGGTCGTAATAACCTTAGTGGAGAAGTTCCTTATGCCTTCAAGGATCTCCAGGCCCTTACCTCCCTCTCTCTCTCAAACTCTAGCCTTGTTAACATATCATCAGCACTTGCAATTTTACAACACTGCAAAAACTTAACCTCACTGTTCCTTGGTGACAACTTTCATGATGAGCAAATGCCTAGAAATATGAATTTGCACTTCAGGAATCTGAAAACACTTGTTATTCCCCACTGTGGACTTAAAGGTCAGTTTCCAATATGGCTGGGTAGCAGCAAGATGTTACAACTTCTGGATATTTCAAGGAATCAAATGACTGGAACCATTCCTTCCGGTTTCCATGAGTTCAAATTTCTCTTTTACATGGATCTCTCGCACAATTCTTTCACTGGTGAAATACCAGTGAGCTTAACCGAGTTAGAGGGCCTAATCAAGAAGAACGTCTCAGAAGAAAGACCTTCCTTAGGCTTCCCACTTTTCAAGGCAAGAAATATGTACAAACAGATTTCGAGTTTTCGACCAACTTTGGATTTGAGTTACAACAAGCTAAGCGGACTGATATGGCCAAGTTTTGGAAATTTGAAAGAACTACATGTTCTAAATCTGAAGGATAATCATCTGTCAGGAAATATTCCTGACAGTTTATCAGGCATGACGAACTTGGAAGTTTTGGACTTGTCCCAAAATGAATTATCAGGAGAAATACCTCTTTCATTGGAAAAGCTTAGTTTTCTAGCACGGTTCAGTGTCGCATACAATCAGCTGCATGGAGAAATCCCCAGAGGAGGCCAGTTCTTGACCTTTCCATCTTCAAGCTTTGAGGGAAACAAGGGTCTGCTCAGTGATAACGTGACTCCTCGCCAGCCTCAACCAGCTGATGAAGATATGACTATCATAGGTTTGCAATTTGGATTTGGAGCTGTCACTGGTTTCCTTCTCACTGTCGGCTTTTGCTTCTTATCTGGTTGGGTGTTCCGGAAGTGAAAACAAATATCACAAGAATAGGAAACCAGGCATAGCAAAAACTAAATCTAAACTAATGCTGTCTAAAGGCAGTGAGGAGTTATGAGGAAGGTGGCCCTAGTTGTCAAGTATTGTGAAGTTAGATTTGGAAGTTCTATGTAATGTATGTATGCTTTCTTTTAATCATTCCATTGTTGAGTTTGCCAAGTATAAATCTTAAAAATTGTGCTAAAATTCCAAAGCAAAAGAGAAATCATCCGAGAGAAGAAGGTTTATTATTTAGCAGTGCATCTCAGATAATTCTATTCTTACAGAGAACAGGGTGGATTGGAGGGTCATATAAGAAGAAAAGGCTAAGAAACAAGTCATGTTGCCATTCTGGATAACTTACCACCTTCTCAAGATAGACCACCACTTAAAGCTGCTATTCACGATGAAGACTATTCCCATAGTTAAAGAAGGCAATGCAGAACAGTTGGAATATAAGCCCACTTTGATTTTATAGAGTGGTGAGTATTTAGATTGCTCAATTGCCTTAATAAGAAAAAATGAACTATCAAAACATCAATTTAGTAGCACATTAAATCAACCAGACTGTGAGTTATATCACTATCACAATTACATTCCCTTGTGGATCCTTTGTATGCAAGAGAAACAACTCCAAGAGTGCTGCATTGACAAGTTAAGAATGATGGCAAAATTGACCATTTGTTTGCTTCTGGCCTTGCGCAGGAAGTCAATCAACTGAAAGCTAATGCAAAGATCCACAAACTAATTTAGTCATTGAACTGATGAGTGGAGTTTCGAGTCTAAGGATTCATGAAGGCGGAAAAGTGTAAGAGAACTGCAGTGAAGAGTAAAAGAAAGACCAGCGAGACATTTTCAAAGCCAGAGGGAAATAGAGGATACAGAGGATGCAAAAGAGTCCATAATTGTTTTTGATAAATGGTCATGGTTTCTATAACAAGTGAAGTCTACAAATGGAGTTCACTTTCCATCATTTTTCATTCTTGTGAGAGAAAAAGAGTTAAATTTTTTTTTAAAGAAAACTCGAAGTATGAATGGATGCAACAGAGAGAATACCTAGGAGCATGGCTCTACTTCTATATCGAAGCTAGTCAGCTGAGATACTGCAATTGCCTCCAGTCAATTTGGTTTTCTGATAGAGACAAGTCTAAAATAGCTGATAAACAAGGAGGAAAATAATGTTTATAGAAATTAAGATGTTCCAAAATGTACATCAGACAATGATTTGACATGGAGACATTTCCAGGCTTCTGCACATTGGTGATGCAGGAGATATATCACAATGAGCTAGTGTCAGAATGCTCATTGAAATATAATTTTTCTTAGTGAAATCGAAACTGAAAACAATAGGAGTCCCTTCTTCATTTTTTCATTATTTTTATTTTTCTCACTAATCTGGTCTATGATTTATGATAAAGAATGTTGAGGGAGTTTGCAGGATGGAGTCATTGTCAACCAGTTGAAACCAGATTATACCAGCGACTACAGAAATGTTGTCCCAATCATCTATGGTGATAATTTATGCATCTTTCAGTTATCCTAGTTTAAGTCAACACGCTTTAGTTTCAAAGGGACCAAGCCCATGATTCCTTGATTAATTGAGTAGTGGATAACTAATCATTATAAAACATTATTTGCCCTAGACTTATGATGAAAACAAATTGCAGAAGTAAACTAATGAAGGGTAACTTGCAGTCAGAGACTTTGAACAATCCTAATCTTTTTCATTCTTTCCTATTTCATAATTTACAGAAACCAAAAGAACATCGGGCAAACAAGATTGTTGCAGCTACTGAGTATTAGATAGTCTGTTTTGCTAACCAAGATTAGTAGCCTGACGATTCTCTGTATACCCTACTGACTAAAAATTTAGTCGAACAACAGGGTTTCAAAAACAGTTTCTAAAAGTCACAGTGACAATATGAGCAGAACTATAAAATAGATTAAAAACATTCAAGAGATTAGCCGTCTTATTGAAACATGGATTCAATCTTATTCAGGAAGAAAACAGAATGGAACATAATGCTGTTGAATTGAAATACTTAATAGTGGAAGTCAAAGTGAATCGATTAATTGTAAAAGAAAAGCTGACATGGGACAAAGCAAAAAACAGTGGAACTATTAAAAGCAAGATCTAGACTTTCAAGTTTAAAGGAATTTGGAGCTCTCTACAACAAGCTCACAGGACCATATGGCCAAGTTTTGGGAATCTTTAAGGAAAGAGAATCATTTGTCAGGTATGGCACATTTACAAGTTATGGACTTGTCCCATAATAAATTATCATGAGAAATACCTCTTTCATTAGAAAAGCTCTATTTTCTATCGAAGTTACAGCAATGGATACAATCATAATGGCTGTTAGATCTGACAAGGAAGGTGGCCCTTGACATGTTTGTAAATTTAAATTTGGGAAATTCTATGTAATATATCTCTTGTTCTTCTCATGCTTTCACTCGTTCAGTTTGTCAATTATAGATCCTAAACCACACATGCAAACAATGCAAATGCAATAGAGAAATTAACCAAGAGAGCGTGGTTTTCTTTGGTCATGTCTTTTATGATAGATGGTTATGGAAGTTTCACTGCTTTCACTCAAAGCGCTTGAGCCTTTCTGGTTGCTAAACATGCTCATTATTCAAAAGCATTCGAAAGAATGGTAGGGTTTTCTAGCCTAGAAATGTAAAGGGAGTTGCTGATATCGATTCCCCTGGCCACACAAATATCTCTCAGATAATCGCCCTTTCAGGCATTTTTTTTCTGTCTCCCTCCCTCCCTCCCTCTCTGTCACTCTGTTTTTTCTGGGGTTGAAAAATAGAATTTGATCCGTATAATTCATATCTGTTTAAACAAGGACACGCCAAATCCACTTAGAACTCAAATTAAGAATTGCATCAAAGTACGTTGGAGGGAAGGAGCAGAAAAGGGAAAGAAATAACTGATAGGCCATAGAGGACACCTTACCACATTTTAAAGAGAATTGACAGCTGAAACCAGGTCTTCAGAATGAAGACTACGCCCACAGACTTGAGGAATAGCAAGAAGCATATACATCAATATGCGATGCATGTCGATTAGAATATAAGCCAGACGGCGCAGATGCAACTTCAATTGATTAAAAAGAGACAGTAATTAGCTATATACCAATCATGACTGCCTTTTTTCCATGTCCCAGCAAATTGGTTTTCCGAAGTAACTGTAATCAAGTACTGAGCTGCTTTATGACCAGAAATGAACTGTTAAAGCAATAAGTTAGGTAGTAATATCTACAAGAATGTCATATGACACAGCTACCTCCGGATCAGGAATCCTCATGTCAAAGAAGACAGGAACTTCATCAAATCAGCTCGACAATAAACTTGAGAGTGCAATGTTGACAGAGAGCTAGATTGGGTTTTAGAAAGATGGAAATGTGATCCTGGGATGTGCTTCCCTGGGAGAAATTCAATCAACCGTAGGCTTTCAAGTAAAAGAAGAGGCATGCAGTGAGAACGATGTAGATTGAAGAGCATGATATACAGTTATATTTCACGTCAACCTCATATTTAGAAGAAGCGGACATGTACGTTTCACTTCCTACATACCCAGGTGAGAATTCTTGCCTGATCAGTAACTACAAATTAACTGATGGAATTATAAATTGATAAGCACTAAAATGTCCTTTTGGATTGTCACAAGAAAGACAATTGATCTAGTACAAAGAGTCAACATGAAGTCAGCCTGGGAAAAAAAATAAAGGAAACGAGCAGGATTTTCCAGGTAGTTCAAGCACTAAGAGAACCTGATGCATATTAACAAGAATCATGTAAAGAAAATAGAATCAAAGTTCCCATAAATCTTGGAAACACTGATATAGTTAAGATATACAGTGCTTATAGAAGAACAACCATTGAGGTTTGAGCCTCCATCCAAGTTATGGACATATTTATGGAACATGGATGACATGATAAAGAAACACCAGCAGAACAGCTTTGAAAAGGGACGGAAGTGGCAAGGACAACAAATTAACAAATAACACAAATATAAAAATAGGTGATTATGCAATATGCATTTATGCGTTCATTATCTTTCTTCCTCTATCAATCATTGGGGACTACTGTTACTGATAGAAATGTTACAAGAGCCAGCTGTAGTTTTAGAAAATTTCGGGGAAGCATGTGCGATATGTTGTGTGAAAAAGAAGCCTCAAATCTCTCTTTACCAGGAAGTAGTATTCTCTAGTTCTCTACTTTCCTTCACATGTTTGATCAACTTCACTTGTGTTGCATATTCAGATTGTAATCAAGGATCTGCAGAGCCAAAAGACGTGAAATATAGCCACGCATACCCACGGCTACCATCATAGCAAGTAGATGGTGCCAACTATGACCAGCAGCGTATCATGCAATGCACAGCAAAGGCCTAAGAATTAAAATTACAGGTGCAAGAACACAAGGGGTACGGATACATAATTTGTAAAACTGAAAATCAGCCAGCAGCTGGTTAAACTTTAATGGCCAGTAATATATTAATATTGCGGTGTGGTTAGATGGTTGAAATTGTGTTTTGCCCTAACTACAGTTTTAAGAGTAGTGATTCAACACACCTTTATATGAATCCTACTAAAAACTCTTTAAAACTTTGGTTATGAAAAAGCTATTTTTAAACCTAGCAGATCTCTAGCACGTCTCAAGTGACCTTCAAATTCTGAGCCTCAGTGAAAGATACTGAATTTCAGCTAAATGCTTATGCTTATGGTCTGCTGCTTCCTTTGCCATCTAAAAGACACAGACAGCATGGATAATGCAGAATGAAGATCATCGTCCAGGACAATCAATCACGAAAAATGCATGCCACCAAAAGCCTCAATAATGCTGTCATGAGACCTGAACTCCAACAAAGCATGTATTAATAAGGTTGGTTTTTTTTTTTGTTTGTTTGTTTTTTAACAAAAGGTCAATGTGTGCACTTGTTGAGCTGGAAGAGCACACACAAAGCTTGAGATCTCAAGAAAACAACGCTTTTATTTCATAGCATTACTACACATAAATGATCAATATGAAAACAAGCTAGAAATCCAAAGCAGAGCAGATAATTCAACCCTGTCTAAGAAGCATATGGATACTAGTCAAACTACAGCGACTAAATAGAAAAACAAAAGGCTTGAACACGTGCTCTAGATGGATCCCTTGATGCTCTCTGACTACAAATAAACTGCAGTTAAACAAA